CACCAGGGTGACAGAGAGAGTGAGAACTCAGCACACGTCCACTGCATGAAGGACTCCTCCCAAGAGCATTGGCTTTAATTAAAATCAATGAATCAACCTGCCAACCAAGCACAAGTATAGCCTTCTGAGACATCGAGGCTGGTACTTTCTGACCAAGTAACTACTAGAGTTCCAATTGAGGTTCTTAGAATTTGAAGTCTGAGGCAAACTCTATACTCTTGCTATGCTAGGTCCATTTTCATTCACTCAAAGCTCTCTGTTATTACACGGGTCCAAGAGTCTTTCCTTCAAGAAACTCCTTTAGTTTAGAGGGAAAGACAAGTACTCGTATGATTACAGAACACAACGGGAGGTATTATGACAGAAACGTGCACAGGATACCATGAGCACAAAACACAACGGGAGGTATTATGACAGATACGTGCACAGGACACCATGAGCACAAAAACAAAGTACTCATCCAGAGTCCCAAAGCTTCCCAGAACGCACGACACCGGAGGTGGACCTGATAATCCCTCCTAGTTTGCAGTGCTCCGTCGCTCAACATCAGAGCCATTAGCTACACGTAGCCACTGAAATTTAAGTCAGATAAACACATAACATTGTTGTTGCTGTTAGGTGCCATTAGGTCTCTGACTCACAGAGACCCTATGCACAGCAGAACAAAACACTGCTCAGTCCTGTGCCAGCCTCACAATACGTGCCAACTCTGAGCCCATCATTGCAGCCACTGTGTCAATCCATCTCATTGAGGACCTTCCCCTTCTTCATTGACCCTCCACTTTACCAAGCATGACATCCTTCTCCAGGGAATGGTTCCTTCTGACAACATGACCAAAGCACGTGAGATGAAGTCTAGCCATTCTTGCTTCCAAGGAGCATTCCAGCTGTACTTCTCCCAGGACAGATTTGTCAGTCCTTCTAACAGACCATGGTACTCTTAGCATTCTTCTCCAATACCATGACTAAAAAGGATCAACTCTTCTTCGGTCTTCCTTATTCACTGTCCAGCTCTCATGTGCATAAGAGGCAACTGAAAATACCATGGCTTGGGTTAGGTGCACCTTAGTCTTCAAGAAGACATCTTTGCTCTTCATCACTTGAAAGAGGTCTTTTGCTACAGATTTGTCCAATGCAATACGTCGTGTGATGTCTTGACTGATGCTTCCATTGGTGTTGATTGCAGAACCAAGTAATATGAAGTCCTTGACAAACTCAATATTTTCTCCATTTACTGTGAAGCTGTTTATTGGACTAGTTGTAAGGATTTTTGTTTTCTTTATACTGAGGTATAATCCATACTGCAGATGGTAGTCTTTAATGTTCATCAATAAGTGCTTCAAGTCATACTTACTTTCAGCAAGCAAAGTTGTGTCATCTGCATATGTTGTTGTTGTTATGTGCCGTCAACTCGGATCTGACTCATACCGACCCCTCCCATCTGCACATAGCAGGTTGTTAATGAATCTTCCTCCAATCCTGATGCCACATTTTCCTTTATATAATCCAGCTTCTCAGATTATTTGCTTAGCATACAAGTTGAATAAGTATGATGGAATGATGCAACCTTGACACACTCCCTTCTTGATTTTGAACCATGCAGTATCCCCTTGTTCTGTTCAAACAACAGTCTCCTGGTCTATGTACACGTTCCTCATGAGTACAATCAAGTGTTCTGGAATTCCATTCTCTAAATGTTAACCATAATTCATTATGATCCACACAATCAAATGCTTTTGCACCATCAATAAAACATAAGTATCTTTTGGATTTCTTTGCTCTCAGCTAAGATCCCATCTGACAATAACAATGATATCCCTCGTTCCACATCCTCTTCTGAATCCAGCCTGCACTTCTGGAAGTTCTCTGTCAATATACTGCTGCAACCGTTTTTGAATTATCTTCACTAAGATTTTACTTGCATGCAATATTAATGATATTGTTTGGTAATTTCCACATTCTGTGGGACCACCTTTCTTTGGAATGAGTACAAATACGGATCTCTTCCAGTCAGCTGGCCAGGTAGCTGTCTTCCAAATCTTTTGGCATAGCCAAGTGAGTGCCTCCAGCGGGGCATCTGTTTGTTGAAACATCTCAATGCGTATTCCGTCAATTCCTGGAGCCTCGTTCTTTGCCAATTCCTTCAGTGCAGCTTTGACTTCTTCCTTCAATACCATTGGTTCTTGATAATATGCCACCTCCTGAAATAGATGCAGATCGATCAATGTTTTTTTGATACAGTGACCCTGTGTATTCCTTCCCTCTTCTTTTGATGCTTCCTGCATCATTCAATATTTTGCCCACAAATCTTTCAATACTGCAACTTGAGGCTTAACTTTTTTCCTCACTTCTTTCACCTTGAGAAATGCCGAGTGTGTTCTTCCTTTTTGGTTTTCTAACTCCAGGTCTTTGCACATTTCAGTACAGTAATTGGCTTTGTCTGCTCAAGCTGCTCTTTGAAATCTTCTGTTCAGCTCTTTTATCTCGTCATTTCTTCCATTTACTTTAGCTACTCTCCACTCAAGGGCAAGTTTTAGAGTCTCTTCTGACATCCATTTTGGTCTTTTCTTCCTTTCTTATCTTTTTAATCACCTCTTGCTTTCTTCATGGATGATGCTTTTGATGTCATCCCACAATTCTTCTGGTTTTCGGTCACTGGTGTTCAATGCATCAAATCCATTCTTTAGATGGTCTCCAAATTCAGGAGGGATATATTCAAGGTCGTATTTTGGTTCTCATGGACTTGTTTGAAATGTCTTCAACTCAAGTTGAACTTGCATATGAGTAGTTGATGGTCTGTTCCACAATCAGCTCCTGGTCTTGTTTTGGCTGAAGATACTGAACTTCTCCATAGTTTCTTGCCATAGATGTAATCAATCTGACTCCTGTGTATTCCATCTGGTGAAGTCCATGTATATAGCCATCGTTTATGTTGTTGAAAAAAGGTTTTGCAATGAATAAGTCATGGGTCTTGAAAAATTCTATCATGCGATCTCCAGCATTATTTCTATCACCAAGGCCAAATTTTCCAACTACCGTGGGTCTTCTTTGTTTCTAACTTTTGCATTGCAATCACCAGTGATAATCAGCACATCTTTGATTGCAGGTTTGGTCAATTGTAAACTGCAGAAGTTGATACCAATCTTCAATTTCCTCATCCTTGGGTTGGGTTGGTTAAATTTGAATAATAGTACTAGTAACTGCCCTTCCTTGTAGGCATATGGATATCACCCTATCATGACAGCATCGTACTTCAGGATAGACCTTGAAACAGTCTTTGTGACAATGAATGCCACACTATTCCTCTTCAATTTGTCATCCCCAGCGTAGTAGAGCATATGGTCATCTGATTCAAAATGGCCAAAACCAGTCCATTTCAGCTCACTAGTGCCTAGGATATCGATCTTTATGCATTCCATTTCATTTTTGACAACTTCCAATTTTCCTAGATTCATACTTCGTACATTCCATGTTCCAATTATTAATGGATGTTTGCATCTGTTTCTACTCATTTTGAGTCTGGCCACATCAGTCAACAGAGGTTCTGAAAATTATATTCCATCCACATCTTACCCTCAGTCAAATTTTGAGAGCTTTCCAACCCAATGGGCTCATCTTCCAGCACTGTATCGGACAATGTTTCAGGGCTATTCATAAAGTTTTCCAGTAATATATCAGAGAGTGTTTCACTGCTATTTTTCATAAGGTTTTCACTGGCCTATTGTTTGAGAAATGGATGGCCTCTTCTCTCTTCCAAGTCTATCTCAGCCCAGAAGCTCCACTGAAATCTGTCTACCATGGGTAACCCTGCTGACATTTTGTAATACTGGTGGCATAGTCTCCAGCCTCACAGCAACACTTAAGCCACCACAGAACAATGCACTGACAGATAAGTTCATTTCCCTTGTTGTTGTTTTGTTTGCCATCGAGTCAGATCTGACTCACAGCGACCCCTCCTTGGGTTTCCGAGGTGGTATCACTACAGAATTAGATTGCCCAACCTTCCTTCCAACGAGTGGCTGGTGGGTTTGAACCACCAGTCTTCTGGTTAGCAGTCAAATGCCTTAGGCACTACGCCACCAGAGCTCCCTCATTCTCTCTTAGTTGTTCCTAACCCCTCTGTGCCCACCCCTCCCTCTGGCCCCAGCCTTAAAATAGAGCCGCCTCCAAGCGAAAAGCAGCTCCTGAGCCCCGGGCCTGCCTACCTTGGCCCCAGCCTTAGTTAAATAAAATGCTATAGTTTCAAAATTAAGTAAAATCAGTTCCTCAGTTATATGAGCCACCTTTCCAGCACTCCACCACCACACTGAGCCCGTAGATACCCTACGGAACAGCACAAATATAGAACATTTCCCTGAGCAGAAAACACTATGGGACAGTGTTCTCCTGGTGCATATATTCAAATATAGCATACAGGTTCCTTCTCAAAGCTCCCATAAAACAAGAAGAGGCAGAATGGGTAAATAAAGCACAGAACTGCATTTGATTTATCCAACAATCTATTGCAAGATCCAGATCGAGTGACAATAATATTTTAAATGAGGATTATTAAACAAGTGAAAGAGGGAATTTCTACCTTTGATTACACCTTTAGATGTGATAAAAACATTTTACATGAAAAAAACTTACAAGTCACTCTGAAATATGAAAGAAAATGTTAAGAAAGAAAAAGGAAAAAAGAAATACAGCAGGGTCAGTGTCGACTTAGGGACATGCCATTCTCTCCATCACCCCTCCACTGCTCCTTTAGTGGAAATCTGGGAGGTTCTAATATTTTCAAATCTTTCAGGATAGGGTGCCTGTCTGAAGATATGATATAATTAACAAAAATACCATTACCCAAAAACATCACAACAAAATATACAGAACTATGTCTACCTCTCAAAACCAGAATTTGATTATTCTGAAAGGAAAGAACAGAACAAGAAATTATATACACAAAATCACAACATAAAACTTTCAAACACTTGCAAAGCAACATATATGATGCAGTAACATACCAGTTCAGATTTGAAGTAGCCTATTGTGTTTTCATCCAATTGAAAATATCTTCTCTTCCAGTTTTTCATCTATCAGAGATGAACACAGACATAAGACTTGTTTCCAAGGATGTCCAATGTTAATCGCACTGAATTATTGTGATGTGAACACATAATCAAAAACACCAAACACCAAAATACCTGCATGAATCGGAGTTGCCAGAATTCTAAGAGTTTAAAGTATCACTTTACTCAAAGGACTTTTTATTTTCAAACTTTAAAGTTTATTTTCCCACAAAACTCTAAAGATTTAGTTCGCATGAGAAAGAACAGCTTTTAGAAAGATGCTTTGGAACCCTAGAGATACTGGTAAGCTCCCTTGCTCTTCCTGGAGTCCCTACCATCCAGTTGTGTAAGGACCTGGGCTAATACCTAATGGCGCTTGTTAAGTAACAGCCACTATGTCAGTACTCTTATTCACACTGTAACTATCTCTGGATGAGAGGTTTTATAATACAACTTTCCTTTAAAAAAAAGAAAAGAAAAACCTGAGAGCCTTAGAGTTAAACAAGCAAGGTCACAGACTCCCAATCCCGGTCAGTCCAACACCAAATCAGGGTTTTAGGTTCCCATACCTGCTACCCTGAGTGGTCTTTCCACAAGGCACTCCCCCCACCAACTGGCCTGCCACCTCCCAAACCTGAGTTCCCACTTCCTGACCTATCCCCATGGGTGGGGTATGTGTGTGTGGTGGGTGGAATCAAAAGACAACTTTCTGGAATAAACCGAAACTGTTATGGAAGCCCACTTCCACTGAAGGTCGTTGTAACAGGCATTAACACCCGGCCAGCCGCAGCCCAAGGAAACACTAGCACTGAACTGTGAACATGACGAACCCTGTTCCCTCTGACTCTTTTACTCGGCATGCTGGTCTTTCATAAACAAGGCCAACGATTTCTTTGCTAATTTGAGAATTTGCTAATATTCATGTTTCACAGCTCACACATCTGGTTAACTACTCACCACTGCTCCTTGTTTTACACAGTATCCAGCCTTGATAACTGTATTGTCTGGAGGTGGTTTGGAAGTAAAGTAAGGAAGATGGCTTTGTGACCGTTTCAAATGATTTCTGTCAATACTTTCACTACATTCATTGACTTCTTCTTTCTAAAACAAAGCAAAGTAATTACTTTTTTTCACGTTATTATTCCAGTATAAATTCTTAAAATCTGTTGCAGTACAGTTAGGAACACAGATTTCGAAGTGAAATGTTTTCTCATTAATGTGAAATACTTAATCATAACTTTCTCATCACTGATTAAACCACAAATTTCCATTTCTCTTGGGCTTTTCTGGGCAGGAGGGAAGGCTAAGTTTTTGTTTTGAAATTATATAGATTCACAGGAAGCTGCATTAAAAAAAAAAAAAAGTACAGGGAGGAAGGAGGTCTCTTATACCCTTCTACCAGTTTTCACCAATAAGGAAGGAAACCACATAACTATAGTACAATATCAAAACAAGGAAATAACGTTGGTACAATCCATAAACCTTACTCAGATTTCCTTAGTTTTACACGCACTCATTTGTCTGTGTGTGTATATACAGTTCTGCACAATTTTATCACATATGTAGATTTGTTCCATCACAACAAGCTCCCTCATGCTACCCCCATCCCTAAACCCTGGCCACCACTAATTTGTTCTCCATTTCTATAAGGCTGTTTCATTCTGAGAATGTAACATAAATGGAATCGTATGGTAATCTTTTGAGATTGGCTTTTTTTAACCTATGCTGCACACTTCAGAGACTCATCCAGGTGGATGCTTAGATCAGTCATTGCTCCTTCTTCACTGCTCCACAGTACTCCACAGAATGGAGCGTTGGAACCACTCACCCTCTGCAGTCCATGCTCTACCACTGTAATCACTCACCCTCTGAAGAGCAGGTGAGGCGTTTCCCGATTTTGGCTGCTATGAATATTTATACACAGGTTTTTATGTTAAGGTAAGTCTTCATTTCTCAGGAATAATTGCCCAGGACTATAAACTCTGAAGGAACCCTGGTAGTGCAGTGGTTAAACACTTTGCTGCTGACCAAAAGGTTCATGGTTTGAACCCAACCAGCTGCTCCATGGAAGAAAGATGTGGCAGTCTGCTTCCATAAAGATTACGACCTTGGAAACTCTATGGGGGCAAGACCATGCACTACAGGGTCACTATGAAGTTTGATTCGACTCAATAGCAACAGAATTTTAGTGCAAATTCTGGGTTGTATGGTAACTGCATGCTCAGTTTTATAACAAACTGCCAAACTGTATTTTAGAGTGGTTGTACATTGTACAAGCAATGTATGAGTGATCTAATTTCTCCTCATCCTTGCCAGAATTTATGTTATCATTCATTTTTATTTTATCCATTCTCATAGGTACAATGTATAGTATTATCTCATTGGTTTTAATTTGCATTTCTCTAACTGATAGGTCAGCAGTTCAAACCTACCACTCTGCAGGAGAAAAAACCTGGCAATCTCCTCTCATAAAAATTACAGTCTTGGAAACTCTATGGGGCAGTTCCACTCTGTCCTATAGGGACACTAGGAGTTGGAATCAATTCATAGGCACACAACTACACCTGAGGCAAATGAGGGTGGACATCTTTTCATAAGCTTATTTGCCATCTGTACATTATTTAGAGTGAAATGTCTGTTCATGTCTTTTGCCCATTTCCTAATTGGATTCTTGGTTTGAATTCTGAGAGCTCTTTATATACTCTAGACCCCAGCCCCCCTTGGTTGGGTATGTGGTTTGCAAATATTTTCTCTCAGTCTTTAGCTTTTCTTTTCACCTTCTTAACAAGGTCTTTCACAGGGCAAAATTTCAATTCTGATGAGGTCAAATTTACCATTTTCTTTCTTCTATGGATTTGGTTTTTATGTCAAGTCTAAAAACTATTTGCCTAGTCCTAGATGCTTTTCTCTAAAAGTTTTATAGTTTCATGTTTTACATTTATATCTAATCCTTTTAAAAACCTCTCCAACTGACTAAACCCCCACAGCTACAGGCCTAAGTCACTCTTTGGGCCTGAAATTGAACTCATTCCCACAGCTTCCAGCCAAACAACAGAGAGGCGAGTAAGATGAACATTTATACCAGGCAGGTACACTCCTTAGAACAATCAACCATGGAAGATCAGAAGGGCAGTATTTGCACAAGGAGACAGCTGGGAGGGCAGGGATACATAGGAAAGGAGGACACAGGGAAAAGGTAACCAGAAGGAGGAAGTAGGAAGAGAGCCATTACATTATGGGGATTACACTCAATGTCATGAAACAAAATGTGCATGAACTGTTGTATGGAAAATGAATTTGTTCTAGAAACTTTCACCCAGCTCACAAATAAGCCACAAACCAAGAACTCCTAAATTTCAAAAGAAAGACTATTAAGTCTTATTTTGAGGAATTTCCAATCAGTTCTATATTTATATAGTCAAAATCACTATGTACTTAACTTTGTAATGCTAGTACTTAATTCACTGAGGAACAGACCATCAATTGCTCACATACAAGCTTAAGTTGAAGCTGAAGAAAATCAAAACAAAGTCCACAAGAGCCAACAGATGACCTTAAGGATATCCCACCTGATTTTAGAGACTTCTAAATAGATTTGATGCACTGAATACCAATAACTGAAGACCAGAGATATTCTGAGATGACATCAAGGACATCACACATGAAGATAGCAAGAGGTCATTAGAAAGACAGGAAAGAGAAGACCAAAATGGATGTTAAAAGAAACTCTGAAACTTGCTTTTGAACGAAGAGTAGCTAAAATGAATGAAAGAAATGATGAAGTAAAAGACCAGAACAGAAAACTTCAAAGGGTGGATCAAAAGGACAAAGTAAAGTATTATAATGAAATATGAAAAGACCTGGAGTTTGAAGATCAAAGGGAAAGAACACACTTGGCATTTGAACTGAAAGAACTCAAGAAAAAAATTCAAGTGTCAAGTTCCAATACTAAAGGATTCTATGGGCAAAATATTGAACAATGCAGGAAGCATCAAAACAAGATAGAAGGTTACCAAGAGTTACTGTACCAAAAATCACTGGTCAGTGTTCAACCATTTCAGGAGGCAGCATATGATCAAGAACCAATGGCAGTGAAAGATGTTCAAGCCACACTAAAGGAACTGGTGAAAAACCAGGCTCCCAGAATTGGCAGAATACCCACTGAGACATTTCAACAAACAGATGCAGTGCTGAAGGTGCTCATTCATTTATCTCAAGAAATTCGGAAGACAGCTACCTGGCCAACTGAATGGAAGAAATCCCTATCTGTGCCCATCCCACAGAAAGGTGATCCAACAGAATGTGGACACTGCTGAACAATATCATTAACATCACACTCAAGTATTAAGTTTTGCTGAAGATAATTCAAAAACAGTGGTAGCAGTACATTGACAGGGAACTTCCAGAAATTCAAGCTGGATTCAGAAGATGACATGGAATGAGGGATATATCATTGCTGATGTCAAGATGGATCTTGGCTGAAAGCCGAGAACTACAATGATATTTACCTGTATTTATTGATTATGCAAAGGCATTTGACTATGTGGATCATAATAAAATATGGATAACACTGTAAAGAATGGGAATTCCAGAACACTTCATTATACTCATGAGAAATCTGTATATAGAGACAAAGACACCGGCGTTCAAACAGAACATGAGGATACTGCATGGTTTAAAATAAGGAAAGGTGTGCATCAGAGTTGTTTCCTTTTACCATATGTATTCAACTACTATGCTGAGCAAATTATCTGAGAAGCTGGACTACATGAAGGATGTGTCATCAAGATTAGAGGAAGACTCATTAACAACCTGTGATATGCAGATGACACAACCTTCCTTGCTGAAAATGAAGAGGGCTTGAAGCACTTACTAAGGAAGATCAAACACTACAGCCTTCAGTATAGATTACACCTGAACATAAAGAAAACAAGTACCTTCACAACTGGACCAATAAGCAGCATCATGAAAAATGGAGAAAAGATTTCATTTTACTTGGATCAATAATCAACACCCATGGATGCAGCAGTCAAGAAATCAAATGACATTTTGCATTGGGCAAATCTTCTACAAAAGACCTCTTTAAAGTGTTAAAGAGAAAGGATGTCACTTTGAAAATGCAGGTGTGTTTAACCCAAGCCATGGTATTTTCAATAGCTTCATATGCCTGTGAGAACTGGATAATGAATAAGGAAGATCACAGAAGAACTGATACATCTGAATCGTGGTGCTGGCAAAGAATATCAGATGTACCATGGGCTGGCAGAAGAAGGAAGAAATCTGTCTTGGAAGAAGTATAGCCAGAACGCTCCTCAGAAGAATGGCCAGACTTTGTCTCTCACAATTTGGTCATGTTCTCCAGTCCCAGGAGAAGGATACCATGCTGGTAAAGTCAGAGAAAAAGGGGAAGACCCTCAGTGAGATGGACTGATACAGTGGCTGCAAAGATGAACTCAAGCACGGCCAATGATTCCAGCACAGGACAAGTCAGGGTTTCGTCCTGCTGTATACAGCGTCACTACAGGTCAAAACCAAATCAATGGCATCTAACAACAGCAACAATTCACTGCTTACCCAATATTTACTCAGTTAATTTATCATGCAGATGAAACTAACTTGCCATTTTCTTTATATTGTCTAAGTGCTTTTATAATGAGTAAATAATACTTTATAATAAAAACCTGTATCGCAAAATGATAAAGCAATAAAACTCATTGGCATTTTTTTTAATAGCACTAGAAGTAGAAGTAGTAGGGGGCAGTTTAA